CACTGTGTAGGTTAGGTTACAGTTAGTTATACAGGGTGGGTTTATATTATTAAAGGGACACTCCAGGCTCCCACACACGTTAGATGCACTGTGTAGGTTAGGTTACAGTTAGTTATACTGGGTGGGTTTATATTATCAAAGGGACACTCCAGGCTCCCACACACGTTAGGTGCACTGTGTAGGTTAGGTTACAGTTAGTTATACTGGGTGGGTTTATATGATTAAAGGGACACTCCAGGCTCCCACACACGTTATGTGCACTGTGTAGGTTAGGTTACAGTTAGTTATACTCTGTGAGTTTATATTATTAAAGGGACACTGCAGGCTCCCACACACGTTAGGTGCACTGTGTAGGTTAGGTTACAGTTAGTTATACTGGGTGGGTTTATATTATTAAAGGGACACTCCAGGCTCCCACACGTTAGGTGCGCTGTGTAGGTTAGGTTACAGTTAGTTATACTGGGTGGGTTTATATTATTAAAGGGACACTCCAGGCTCCCACACACGTTCTGTGCACTGTGTAGGTTAGGTTACAGTTTGTTATACTGGGTGGGTTTATATTATTAAAGGGACACTCCAGGCTCCCACACACGTTAGGTGCACTGTGTAGGTTAGGTTACAGTTAGTTATACTGGGTGGGTTTATATTATTAAAGGGACACTCCAGGCTCCCACACGTTAGGTGTGCTGTGTAGGTTAGGTTACAGTTAGTTATACTGGGTGGGTTTAAATTATTAAGGGGACATTCCAGGCTCCCACACACGTTAGATGCACTGTGTAGGTTAGGTTACATTAGTTATCCTGGGTGGGTTTGTATTATTAAACACATGTTGTAATGTGCAGGATATGTTACAGATATACTGGGTAGATTAATATTTGTAATATAAATCCACCCAGTATAACTAACTGTAGCCTCTCCTACACATTACATCTGTGCAAAAGGCAGATCCCCAGATGTTGTAGACCTGAAAATTCCTCGATACTTTGACATTATATTCATATAGTGATCTACCTATCGCACAGTTCAACATTACACCAAACATGTGTGGGACTATGGAGTGCCGTTTAAAGAGTTACTATATATACAGTACCATGACTCATTCTGGGATTTGAAGTGGGTTTGGTGAAGGGTTTTTGTAGAGGGGGCGGGGGTTTTGTATTAGGGGAGGGGGTGGAGAAGCGGGACTGGCAGGGGGTTTTGTAGAGGGCTGGGTGCAGGGTTTTTGTAGGGGGCTGGGTGGAGGGGATTTGTATAAGGTAGACTGGACAGGGGCTTTGTAGAAGAGGCGGGTTTGGAGAAGGGGGCAGGGCAGGGTATTTGTAGAAGGGGGACTGGGCAAGATTTTTTGTAGAGGAGGGGGGCGGTTTAGGGTTTTTGTAGAGCGGGCAGACCTTGGGGTGGGGGAGGTTCCACCGACATCCGCCTGATGGATGGGCCCCTTATAACGCACCTCCACCACTCCGTCTGTCTTGGCCCGTAAGTGGACCCCAGCTTAATATTCAAATTGTTAGAATGTCCACTTACAATGTGGGGATAGCATGGCACTTGTAGCACCATATCCATTGTAGTGTGCAGTAGTGATTATGTTGCTTAGAGTATTCATTTAATATAAATTTAAAAGATAATGGTGCATCACTAAAATAAAAGCTGGCACACATGATAATTGATTTCCAACTGTTTATTAATTGGCAGCAGCATCACCAAACCACCAGAGAGCCTCGAAGCCTGAGGTAAGGGAACAAACTGTTGCTAAATGGGGGTTATTAGTATACAAATATATATAAATAAAATATATTGGGGCGGATCTTAGCACAGAGAGTGGACGGACGCATGTGAGAGGCTCCGTGCACTACAGCACTATATCGTTACTTACTGCACATTATTGCAAACTCAAACTACCCTGACGACGGCTCTGGTCAGCAATGGGCTGTAAAACAAAAAAAATGACACCCGACAAGCCAAGACCGGGCATGAACATAAGCGATATGCTCCGCCAGGCACATGGAGTGTTTGGGCCCAAGATGGCTGATGACCTGGATTTGGGAACCTGGGCATGGGAAACGCAGACAAGCTGACTGCTACTCACCCAAAAGTGGTCCCCTGATGTCCTGATACGACACCAGTGACTGATGAGACCCTGAAAGACATGTTGGCAGACCTGCAGAAGTCCATACAGGTGGATGTGGCCTCGCTGCTATCAGACATAATCGGCCTAGTCGGAAGACTGAGCACAGTGGAAGCCTCAACTGAATCACATGGAACATTCCAAATCCCAAAACCACGAAATGCTCTGGACACAGCACCCAGACTTGGTGCTCTGCTTCCAGAATTACAAAGACAAAGTCGCAACTCAGACAGCTCTTAAAGGGACATCTTCATATACATTTGAAAACTTAGAGTTAACCTTCAACGCAGACCTGTCTGGAGATACTTTACAGTGGCGAAGATACATGCAGCCCTTCACCTCCCTCCTCAGTGAACATGGCATCCGGTACAAATGGTGCTTCTCGCGGACCCTGATTGTCCTACATGCTGACTCCACACACTCCATTCAAGACCTACAAAGTGCTATGAAGCTGGGCCTCCCACGGGACTCGCTGAACAAAACGGGTCAACAAGCAGCACCTAAACCTATGCATAGATGGGACCCAGAGAAAGTGACCACTTTTGTCCCTCAGAAGGCCTTCTCAGAAGCCTACACAGTCGCCACAACCTGAAGCTCTATCCTGTCCAGGAAGTACAGGACGTTATCTGCTGACATTATGTACTTTACAATCTTGAGTTCCTCATGCCAATGAGCTGAACAAAAATAAAGAATAAAAAAAAAAAAATCTATTTTATAACTATATTATTGTATTATTACATTCTAGTTCTTGCAGTATTATTATAAAACATATAATATAAAATTAAGAAATTATATAGAATATGGTGGGATGGTGTTCTGGTTTTGTCTCAAGCTGGGCTATATGTTTAAAGGGACACTATAGTCACCAAAACAACTTTAGCTTAATGAAGTAGTTTTGGTGTGTAGATCATGTCCCTGCAGTCTCACTGCTCAATTCTCTGCCATTTAGGAGTTAAATCACTTTGTTTATGAACCCTTGTCACACCTCCCTGCATGTGACTTGCACAGCCTTATTTAACACTTCCTGTAAAGAGTCATCTACAGTTTATCTTTTCTTTACTGCAAGTTCTGTTTCATTTAGATTTTCTTATTCCCTGCTATGTTAATAGCTTGCTAGACCCTGCAAGAGCCTCCTGTATATGATTAAAGTTCAAGTTACAGAGAAAGAGATATAATTGTTTAAAGGACCACGATAGTGCCAGGAAAACATACTCGTTTTCCTGGCACTATAGTGCCCTGAGGGTGCCCCCACCCTCAGGGTCCCCCTTCCGCCGGCCTCTGGAGAGAGGAAGGGGTTAAAATCTTACCTTTCTCCAGCGCCGGGCGGGGAGCTTTCCTTCTCCTCTCCTCCTCCTTCCTAGCGACGTCATCGGCTGAATGCAGGAGCCACGCGCGCATTCAGCCAGTACATAGGAAAGCATTTACAATGCTTTCCTTTGGACGCTGGCATCTTCTCAGTGTGATTTTCACAGTGAGAAGCACGCAAGCGGACAGCCACTAGAGGCTGGATTAACCCTCAGTTGTAAACATAGCAGTTTCTCTGAAACTGCTATGTTTATTAAAAAAAAGGGTTAACCCTAGCTGGACCGGGCACCCAGACCACTTCATTAAGCTGAAGTGGTCTGGGTGCCTATAGTGGTCCTTTAAGGTAAATTACATCTGATTGAAAGTGAACCAAGTTTTGGCAAGGGCTGCATAAACTGAAACAAAGTAATTTAACTCCTAAATGGAAGTGAATTGAGCAGTGAAACATGAGAAGCATGATCTATACACTAAAACTGCTTCATTAAAGGACCACTCTAGGCACGCAGACCACTTCAGCTTAATGAAGTGGTCTGGGTGCCAGGTCCAGCTAGGCTTAACCCATTCTTTTATAAACATAGCAGTTTCAGAGAAACTGCTATGTTTATGAATGGGTTAAGCCTTCCCCCAAAGCCTCTAGTGGCTGTCTCACTGACAGCCGCTAAAGGCGCTTGGATGATTCTCACTGTGAAAATCACAGTGAGAGCACGCAAGCGTCCATAGGAAAGCATTAATAATGCTTTCCTATGCGACCGGCTGAACGCGCGCACAGCTCCTGCCGCGCGTGCGTATTCAGCCGACGGGGAGGAGAGGAGGCGGAGAGCTCCTCGCCCAGCGCTGGAAAAAGGTAAGTTTTAACCCCTTTCCCCCTTCCAGAGCCGGGTGGGAGGGGGACCCTGAGGGTCGGGGCACCCTCAGGGCACTATAGTGCCAGGAAAACGAGTATGTTTTCCTGGCACTATAGTGGTCCTTTAAGCTAAAGTTGTTTAAGTGACTACAGTGTTCCTTTAAAGTTGCCCCAGTCGAAAACCCAAAGGAAAATGCTGTTTCGATATGCAATATGGTATCCATACTGCAGTGGCGTATGTGACTTATTGTCAAGATAGAACAATTAGAATAGAAACCTCAAAAGAAAACAATGCTTTTTACAGTTGGTAATATATTACATATTACAAACATTTTCAAACGTCAACAATTTATTTAAAACTGTGGCATTTAATTTAGCCAATAAAAAAAAAAAAAGAGGATAACCTTTCTTTCTGACTTGCCAGGGGGTATTAAATTTTGTATTATTTATAAAGGGCACCAGTAACAAGCTGTCTGATAAACTACAGACACAATTCATATTCAGTGAGGTTTTTGCTCTGCAGGACTGGCACTTTATATTTATTGGAGGGGGTTTTTGGGGGGGGGGGGCAGACAATTTCCTTTTTATTCACATTACAAATTGACACATGTACACAGCCACAAAGCCAATGCCCATTCTGATTCCTAGCAGAACGTTTGACTCTCTCGGGACACCGTAGCAACTGACTCGGATCGACTTATGATTTGTCTATTCGAGGCACGTGATCTGCAGTGAATTGCATGTCAAAATGGCGGCGCCCATGTGAACATGCTGGAGTAAGTTAGGCACAGGAGACTTGCTTATTACAATCCCATATACACACAGAGCATGAAGCAGGGCGTCCTACCTGTATAGTCACGCTTTTTTACAGGGTATGCAATGTCTTAAGGCTTGATTGTTTCAGATAAAATGTACATTAAGCATTAGGAATGAAGTGAGAATTGTGTTTGGGTGTGAGCCAGGCTTATTAGATCCAACTAGTGTTCCTGACCACATATAACTAATACATGCCATGATATAAAAGGAGCTGCATTGCAGTGTGGCTAACTCAGGTGCTGCAGATAGGAAAGCAATTGGTATTAAAAAGAGGAATCCTGCAGCATATGGAAGCTTCACCAAAGGTTAATGTTTTGTGTCCCCCCCCTGTGGGTTGTTAGAAGCATATATACCATGATCTGTGTCCAGGAGAACATGTGGTGATTTAGAAACCCTCATTATCACCTTAACTGTTATGAGAATTTAAAATTGCCCACGGTTATGCATGCATAGATTTGTTTGAATCTATTTCTTCTTTTGTAGGAGCCTTACGCCTGATGCAATCCACAATTTGCAGAGTCATCCCTCAACCTCGTGCTGTTATCGTCTCTAGTTTAATAAAGTACTCCACTGGAAGGAGGCACCTCACACAAAAAATGGAGGAACCGTCAATATCGGAGGGGGCTGGAGAGACCGTTATCATTGAGGGGAAAGCCAAAGTGATTTTCCCTAATGCCAACCAAGTATTTTATAATCCAGTGCAGGAATTCAACAGAGATCTGACGTAAGCATTGTATTAAAATATTAATTCTAATCAGTGCAGATGTGCCAAATATGTATGGAGAACCAATCACCAGTGGGGTAAACATTCATACAAAGGGTGAAGTTGGTTTAGTCTAAATGAAACTATGTTCTGCAGAGCTTACACTTGAACAAACAGATAAAAATATAGTGTATATAGAGATCAGTTGTGCAGAGAAAAAAAGACTGCAATATACCAATAATGTAGTAACCATAGAGACAGGGATTACAAATCAGAGCCCTATTCTGTTAGCCAGAAGGTAAATTACTACAAGCCATGGAATACCCACAAGTCTTGAGTTTCTCCTCACCACAGCAACATTTTCACTCTTGAGTCCTGCAGATCTTGTATATACATGTAACAGACAAGAAGACCACACTTCAGTAAGTCACATAACACACACAATTGACTCATTTGTGGATCACCTGCACATGTACTGGTGCTCGGATAAGCACCAGTGCAAGTGAATTTTACCCACAGTGCTTTCAATCTAATATACATTTCACGTATAGCGAGGAACATCAGTGCAGGGTGCTTTTTTTTTTTTTTGTATTTTATCACTGTTAGGTACTGTTTATTTTCCTTCCTTGCAGCTGTGCTGTAATCACAGAATTTGCTCGGATGCAGCTTCTACAGAAAGGCATTGACAGTAAGTAATGTCTGATAACAGATTAATTTCAATATGGCATAAATAATGTTTCAAAAAGAAATAAGAAGAATATATTATATAAAGTGGGAAACTGTTGAGAGAGTATATGGCATCCAAACAATAGACCATAGATGATAAAAAGAGAGTGAGTAATGCAGGAAAAAGGTTTGAGGACTAACCAGGTCTGCAATCCTGTTTGTTGTGGAGTTTGCTGTCAAAGGCCAGTATTGTTTTTTTTGTTTTGTTTTGTTTTACATTTTTATTCCGTAGCCCTTTATCTTTTTATATTAAGCGTTTACATACTATTGACATAGCTTTGGGACATGTCTGGCCACACTGTCACAGATTCTTTTCTCTCATCTTTTTTCACATTTAAAACTCTGTGCTTTTTGATGTGCTGTGCATTTCTGTTACTCAAAGTTGGACTTCAGGTATAGATAGAGGACTGAGTGCTCTTCCACTACATCCCATAATTGCCATTTCCACCTTTCTGTACTGACCCAGTTCCATCTCCCTGCAGTTGTTGTGCCTGATGAGAGAAAAGAACAGAAGGTGGTAGTGAATTTATCAGACACCGGAGAGGAAGAATCAAAGTCCAACGTAGAGAATAATGATAAGCCTGCAGCTCGACAAGAAGCACACGTGGGGGTCCCCTGCACTGTGAGTTTACTTTAATAACATGCTGTTTGTTATGCTTTCATTTTTACTGCAGGTGTAAGTAAAATTTGCCTGCACTTCTTTAAGTATGCCGACACCGACTCAAATATATTGAACAAATAATTAGTCTCTACTGGTGATAGGCAACTGCGACAGATACTTCTGATATTTAAAGAGAGTTGACATCACTAGAGAGGCTGTGGTATACCTTGCAGGGAAGAACCCAAACATACACTAACATCTAAGCGCAGCAGCTCAAAACGACTTGTACTGAGGAGTTTCAACAGATATTTGTAATGAGACTTCCCTCTACCCCTGGATTGCTTGGTGAAACTTGTATTGAAAATGCTTTGAGACCACTTGAGAGGTACAAAGGCCGTGGAATAGAATATTTAGACCCCAACAAGTTCGGTCTGCAGGATTTGCCAGGCTATGAGCACCTTTCAATAATGCTACTACAGACGATTGTAGAGAGCCCACCTTTCATTTCTTCCACTCCCTCTCCCCTTTTTTGTTCTCTCTCCACCTTGGTTTATTTCACTGTGCTCTATAATGCATTGATTAGACCTAACTGGTCCTACACACAGCTTAAACTGGCTCTAATTTCAGAATTCTGTATTTGCAATTTATGTAACAAACTGGTTTCCTACTATTAAATCTAACCCAATGCAAGCTCAATTATATGATTCTGGAAAACTTGCAACAAAACTGTTGCTCACAAATTTTATTTTAAACTACCTACTTCCTCTCAGGCAATGAAGCAATGGTGACCTGCTCCCTCCATCCTAGGTCACTGGACAAAGGACTTAGGGACTGTAACATTGTAGTTCTTATTTTGTAAAAGCAGAGGTGATTTAAAATGTCTCTGGGCAGAGCATTGGAAGGAGTGAGGCAGCAGGCAGGAATTGTACAGAGCCTTTTGTAGCACAGTTTTTTAAAATTTTGCTTGGAGTGGTGACCAAATATCTCAAAGCTTTCTAGGGCTGTCAAGTGGGCTGGAGGTTGGATTTCAGGTCATTGTGTTTGGTGAATAAGCCCTTATGTGTTTCCATTTTGCACTTAGAAACATAGAAATATAGAATGTGACGGCAGATAAGAACCATTCGGCCCATCTAGTCTGCCCAATTTTCTAAATACTTTCATTAGTGCCTAGCCTTATCTTATAGTTAGGATAGCCTTATGCATATCCCACGCATGCTTAAACTCCTTTACTGTGTTAACCTCTACCACTTCAGCTGGAAGGCTATTCCATGCATCCACTACCCTCTCAGTAAAGTAATACTTCCTGATATTATTTTTAAACCTTTGCCCCCTCTAATTTAAGACTATGTCCTCTTGTTGTGGTAGTTTTTCTTCTTTTAAATATAGTCTCCTCCTTTACTGTGTTGATTCCTTTATATATTTAAATGTTTCTATCATATCCCCCCTGTCTCGTCTTTCCTCCAAGCTATACATGTTAAGATCCTTTAACCTTTCCTGGTAAGTTTTATCCCGCAATCCATGAACCAGTTTAGTAGCCCTTCTCTGAACCCTCTCTAAGGTATCAATATCCTTCTGAAGATACGGTCTCCAGTACTGAGTACAATACTCCAAGTGAGGTCTCACCAGTGTTCTGTACATGATCACTTCCCTCTTTCTACTGCTAATACCTCTCCCTATACAACCAAGCATTCTGCTAGCATTTCCTGCTGCTCTATTACATTGTCTGCCTACCTTTAAGTCATCAGAAATAATTACCCCTAAATCCCTTTCCTCAATTGTTGAGGTTAGGACTCTATCAAATATTCTGTACTCTGACCTTGGGTTTTTACGTCCAAGATGCATTATCTTGCACTTATGCACATTAAATCTCAGTTGCCACAATTCTGACCGTTTTTCTAGTTTACCTAAATCATTTGCCATTTGGCTTATCCCTCCTGGAACATCAACCCTGTTACATATCTTAGTATCATCAGCAAAAAGACATACCTTACCATCAAGACCTTCTGCAATATCACTAATAAAAATATTAAAGAGAATGGGTCCAAGTACAGATCCCTGAGGTACCCCACTGTTGACAAGTCCAAGCTTCAATATATTCCATTAACTACAACCCTCTGTTGCCTGTCACTCAGCCACTGCCTTACCCATTCAACAATATTGGAATCCAAACTTAAAGATTGCAGTTTATTGATAAGCCTTCTATGTGGAACAGTGTCGAAAGCCTTACTTGGTTTATCTCTACCATTGTTGTTACATTTTCTGTTTTATTTCATTCTTCTATGTTAGCTAACATGTTTCCATTCATGGATTCCCTCTCTCAGGATGGTTTGCGAGTATTGGAGGGTCTGGCTGCATCTGGTTTGCGTTCTGTTCGCTTTGCCCGTGAAGTTCCTGGTCTGCAAAGCGTCATCGCCAATGATTTCTCCGCCAGCGCCGTGGAGCTAATCAAAAGAAACATCCAATTTAATGGGGTTGGGGACCTGGTGACGGCCAGCTTCAGTGATGCCAGGTGAGACCCACAAATTGTCACGTAGGATTAATTCCATGATGGTGGCTTGGACACACATGAAATAATTGCAAATCAACGTATACAGTGTATTCAGAAAGTCTTACATAAAGGACCACTATAGTGCCAGGAAAACATACTCGTTTTCCTGGCACTATAGTGCCCTGAGGGTGCCCCCACCCTCAGGGACCCCCTCCCGCCCGGCTCTGGAAAGGGGTAAAAACTTACCTTTTTCCAGCGCTGGGCGGAGAGCTCTCCTCCTTCGATCCTCCTCCTCGTCGGCTGAATGCGCGCGCATTCAGCCGGTCACATAGGAAACCATTCATAATGCTTTCCTATGGACGCTTGCGTCTTCTCACTGTGATTTTCAAAGTGAGAAGCACGCAAGCGCCTCTAGCGGCTGTCAATGAGACAGCCGCTAGAGGAAATAGGGGAAAGCTTAACCCATTCATAAACATAGCAGTTTCTCTGAAACTGCTATGTTTATGAAAAAATGGGTTAACCCTAGCTGGACCAGGCACCCAGACCACTTCATTAAGCTGAAGTGGTCTGGGTGCCTAGAGTGGTCCTTTAAGGGGACAGTACAACCATCAACACCACTACATCTTAGCCAAACTGGGAACATTGCTGTTTTGGGGCGTTTTTCCAGTCTGAAATTCACTTTAATTTCCTGATAATTTTTACTTTAGTAAATACAGCCTAGCAGGGTTTAGATCTAGAACATTTGTTCCATTGTGTTTGCCGTCTCCATGACTAGCGTGTCATTGTTCCCATGTTACCAGAGAGCTGATGTGCAGCAAAAAGGATTCTCGTAACCGGTTTGATGTCATAGATCTGGATCCCTATGGGAGCCCCTCGATGTTCATTGATGCTGCTGTGCAGAGTGTGAGCGAAGGAGGTAAGGATACCGAGCTGTTATTTGGTGTAACTGCTGTCTGCCTGTGTCTGTCTCTTCTCACAGGTAAAGGTAAAACTCCAAAAACAGAACAGCGCACTGTAGTGGTTGTGGTGTAGGTCTGATATATGTAGTCAAATTGGTTAATTACATTTAGATGTGTTTTCCTGGGATCCATTGTGCGCTCCTTGCCCTTTCTAGGCCATCAGGTAAGCAAGAAGCTTAGGAACTTCTTTTACTCTCCTAAGCTAAACCTGCAGTGCACGGCTAGCTCTGGCTGAGACCACCAGCTGATCACTCCCAGCGAATGAGGTAAGACCTGTACTGCGAGGTTTAACCAAAAGCTGAGAGCTTCCAGGTAAACAGTAACATTGTTACTAAGAGATTTGATTGCTTTGGGTGGGAAGAGTGGACAGGGGCAAGGGCACTATAATCAATACATTGCACTGCAGTTGTTATGGTGCTTGGATTGTTCCTTTAACTCTTATCTTCCTGTGCAGATATTTTCTTATATTTCTTGTGCTGTGTTTAACTTCTTTTGGCATAATGGGGTATAACAATAGAATGCATTTAACCCTTTCCAGGACTGCTCTGCGTTACATGTACAGATATGGCGGTCATGGCTGGGAACAGTGGAGAGACTTGTTACAGTAAATATGGAGCCATGTCCCTGAAGGCCAGATTTTGTCATGAGATGGTGAGATGTCCTTAACTTAACACTCTGTATTAATTATCATTTAGTAACAGCATGTATTCAGTCTGGGGGGGAAAGGGAGCCAAGCCTCTGTGTTTGAGCACACCTTTTTATGGACTCATGGGCAAAGCCCCCTCGTCGAACTGTACTAAGGCTCCAAAAGGACCAAGCAACAGATTTTACAGCTATAAGTGAGTGCCAAATCTGGAATATCACCCTATAGCTTTCAGGAAGCAAACAGACTGCAAATGTCTTTCTATATCACACAAAGGTTTGTCTTCACCTTTCCCCCTGCTGTGGAATATATATATATAAATAAAAAAAATTTTTTTTACTTTTTATTGTGAATGTTAAATATAGCATAGGTTTTCCAGCACAATCTCAGCAACAGGAAATTTGCCATGTAATAGATACAGTATCAAGAGTGTACATGAAGCATTGACAATTTAGCATTTAACAATAAAACATAACTAAAATTTGTCAGATAAAATATATCTATGGAGACTTTTCAGACCGTTTAGGTGTAGCGAGGGTCGTCAGGATCTCAAAAATAAAAGTTACCGTCGTTAGCGAAAACCTCTACATCCAACCTTGGTCACCCGGTGAAGTATTATATAAAAATATCAATAAGGAGAAGGATATCTCCATTGCATACCTTTGAAATATCATGTCCAGGTCTCGTGCCGTCCAAAGGGTAAGCTACAATTCCTTGTGCTGGGAACTGCGTTGGGCACTTAGTATTCAGATTTTGGACAGACCCAGCTTAACTCCATTACAAAATCAGTAAAGGGTCAAATCTATTTACATTGAAATTTGCCAGCTTGGTTATGTTACCTTTTGAGAGCGTATGGTAGCCCAGGAACAAGCATTACCCCCATGATGGCATACCATTTGCAAAAGAAGACAAACCAAGGTACTGCAAATGGGGTATGTTCAGTCTTTTTTAGTAGCCACTTAGTCACAAACACTGGCCAAAGTTAGCGTTCATAATTGTTTTTTGCAATTTTCACACACAAACCAATATAAATGCTAACTTTGGCCAGTGTTTGTGACTAAGTGGCTACAAAAAAAAACAAAAAACTGGACATACCACATATTGAATACCCTGGGTTGTCTACTTTAAAAGAATATGCACATGTGAGGTGTGTTTCAGAGATTTATGACAGATAAGTGTTACAATGTCACTATTGATACATTTAAAAAAAAAAAAAATAATAAAAAGAAAATATATAATTTTTTTTTTTTTTGAAACCGCAATGTCCTACATGTACTTATAGCCCTATAACTTGCAAAAAAAAAAGCTAAGAACATGTTAACATTGGGTATTTCTAAACTCAGGACAAAATTTAGAAACTATTTAGCGTGGGTGTTGTTGGCGGTTGTAGATGCATAACAGATTTTGGGGGTCAAAGTTAGAAAAAGTGTTTTTTTTTTTAAATTTGTTTTTATAGTAAATTATAGGATATGATGAAAATAGTGGTATCTTTAGAAAGACCATTTAACGTCGAGAAAAGGGGTATATAATATGTGTGGGTACAGTAAATGAGTAAGAGGAAAATTACAGCTAAACACAAACACTGCAAACAATTTAAAAACAGCCCTGGTCCCTAACAGTAAGGAAAAAAAAAAAAAAAACGGTCTGGTCACTAAAGGGATAATGGTAAGGGCATAATTTTGGTGTTCGTTAAGTGTTGCGTAACCTCCCTCCAGAAGCCCTGTATCAGGGGGCGCTCACACAGATCGTGATACAGGTCCGCGTTGGGTGGACCTTATTTTTAATGATACTCCGTCAGAAATAAGCTGGGCATAGCTAACGTTCAATCTCTTCCATATGTTATTTTTAGCATCCTGAGTGCATTTGACTGTTTTGTTTTATGCTACAATATACAGTCTTTAACCTGACATTTTAGCGTGCAATCTCCTTTTGTTTCTGTCTCACTGTGACAGCTTGGCTTTCTGTATAATTTCCCGTATCTTGTAGGCCCTCCGCATCCTGTTGCACAGTTTGGACCTGCGTGCCAACTGTTACCAGCGATACATTGTCCCACTGCTCTGCATATCTGCCGATTTCTACATCCGCGTCTTTGTGCGCGTCTTTACCGGACAAGCCAAAGTCAAAATGTCCGCCAGGTGAGTATTTGGGGTATTTTAACTTTAAAAGCGTTACATGGTCCATGTGGATCCTTATCTATATTCTTGCCTCAAAAATGATGTGTAAAGTAGAAATCCATTGCTAAGGGAACTCCCATAAATGTGGACAAACAAAATATATAAACGCAGGTACTGTGCTCATTTCCATATTATTCATGGCAATGTGGGAATACTGTGGAACATAATCACTCAGAAGTGTTGAACAGTTTTTTTTTTTGTCACCTGTCACGGCTTAGAACGTTTAGTGTTAACCATTAACAAATGTATACACTATAGAACAGAACAAGATTAATGATGTCTATAGATCGTGGGGTGTTAGAATCTTCTCCCATCCCACCCAAATTTGACCCTGCTCCCTGAATTAGTGCATTCTGGCAATTTATTCCCATGTACTCAACCTTTCACCTAATCTTGTTCAACACCATAAACAAGTAGGTACTTGGTAATCAACAACCACTTTGAAGCAGCCTGACTTCTCCGCCTGATGGTGTTACTGAATGACCACCAAAGGGAGGTGAACAGCCCCAGCTGCCCCTTTGGACCAGAGCAGGGATTTTGTTCATCCTTTGGAACTGGTCTCTGCATTTATTAATCATTATTAAAGGCTGACATATTTCCTTATGAATGTATTTCTGATGTAGTTTGGTTCTATGTTGGCATCTGTATATTTTAGCCAAGGCTGCCTTTATACCTTTCTAATTGCATGTTAATATTGCTTATTCATTTATTAATATTTTAAAAAAAAATTACATATCAGTTTTCCCACCCAATTAATTGCTATGTGCAGAAATGTTGGTAAGAGTTTGTTCCGTGCAAAGATTTACTCCCCTATTAGAAAATGAAACTGTATTAGTAGAATTTCATACCTGTAGAGTTAGTCTCACATCTCCCTTCCTTTCACCACAGTAAGCAAGCCCTGGTGTACAATTGTGTGGGCTGTGGCACGTATCACCTGCAGCGAATGGGCAGAGCAATCAGCCATGGGAACAAGTAAGTTTGGGCTTTGATTCTGATGATGTCAGTTCTGAGTAAATTAATTGTATCATTAAATGATTCAGCTTAAATAAGCAGAAACATTGAGAGGGATCTACAACCATAAACCCATTTCCTAGTTCACACTAAAATCTGTTTAACACTGCTAGCAGTACTGTTTAATCAATCCAGCTTAAAGTCCTGATTAACATAAAGCTACAAACTGCTTCTCCTCGTATAGAATAGCCTTTTGGAGATATGACACCTGAAGTAACTGTTCAATATTTTGTATGCCTACATATAAAAATTTTGCAAAAGCTGCAGTTTGCAGCCTTTGCCAGCCCTCCCCTTCTAACCCCGCCCAAACTTTCTCTGGCTGTCCAATCACAGACTTCCCAATGCAGCTCAATGAGAAGTCTTTGCAAAGCAGGTGCTCTGGGCATTTGCTGCCTCTTGAATTTATCTCCACTGAGCTAACCGAACGAGGAAGTAACAGGACCGGTTGTCTGATAGCCAGTGGGTGTTTTAACAATTTTTTATTTTTTTTTAATAAAAGTGGCAATTTCTATTTGAAATCTGCACATTTTGTAAAATGAAGACAAAAGAAAAGATATACACACACAGTGTTTCAGCAAGCTGAAATGCTTTAGGGAACCTGGAGAGTCCTTTTAAAACTGCTCCTTAAAACTAACGTTGTATTCCTTTAAACAGGTTTACTGTGAATCTAACACATCAGATCTGTCACTGGCACCTAATTTTGACTTCTTATTAGGCATTCATTTTCAGGCATCAGATACTCGCATAGATGTCGGATTCTTTGGAAGGCACTTTGTATCGCACAATAGAGACTTTGGAGGAGTTAAATAGTGTGAATCTCATTAAAGGACCACTATAGTGCCAGGAAAACATACTCGTTTTCCTGGCACTATAGTGCCCTGAGGGTGCCCCCACCCTCAGGGTCTCCCTCCCGCTGGGCTCTAGGGGGTTGAAGGGGTTAAACTTATCTCTTTCTCCAGTGCCATGCGGGGGACTCTCCTCCTCCTCAAAGAGCCGCACGCGCATTCAGCCAGTCTCATAGGAAAGCGTTCACAATGCTTTCCTATGGACGCTGGCGTCTTCTCACTGTGATTTTTCACAGTGAGAAGCACGCAAGCACCTCTAGCGGCTGTCAACGAGACAGCCACAAGAGGCTGGATTAACCCTAATAAAAACATAGCAGTTTCTCTGAAACTGCTATGTTTATAGAAAAAAAGGGTTAAACTTAGCTGGACCAGGCACCCAGACCACTTCATTAAGCTGAAGTGGTCTGGGTGCCTATAGTGGTCCTTTAATAATAATCAATACTTACCTGTATTAATCTGCTTTTTACTGCACACCTGCATTGCCACATCCTCACCCTAATATTCATTCTATCCCATGAACAGTATGAAGTATTCTCCTGGAACTGGGCCTCCTGTGGGAATGAGCTGTGAATTCTGCAGTCAGAGGCATCAGGTATGCCTTCGTTCTATAAACGTTCTGTGCTCAGATCGTTCTTCGTATATCTAGAATTTAGTATTCAGTAAATCCTGATCTGCCTTTCAGGTTGGTGGGCCCCTCTGGGCTGAGTCACTTCATGATACAGAGTTTGTGCAAAAAATTATATCTGCCGTGGATCGAAATCCAAAACGATTCAAAACATCCGAGAGAATATTAGGAATGTTAAGCATGGCGATAGAGGTGAGTGTGCTATGGGATGTGGGGTGTCAGAAGTTGTGTATGTTCTTTATACCAGTGTCCCTCAACCTTTTACAGAGAAGTTCCCCTCCCCTGTAAGTCTAAAAATAATTCTGAAATATCCCTGCCTCCAGAAAGTAATTTCTATTGATTTAAATCCTAAATTTATTGTGTAGGCACAGATGTTTAAGTTAATCCTATACAGAAAAACAGGCCTTATTAAGGTAATATAGAATATTTTACAAATAAATACAACATAATGTGAATGTGTGGAAGAGTGTATGAACTATTAATCTGAAGTCTAAAAGTCACAAAATGAAAATATAGTACAATCATAATAGTTACACACGCACAGGACACTAGCATAAGAGGGCTACACTGTCTCCTGGAGGAAGAGGCACTCAGAAGGCCTGGTTGACACAATGAGGTGCATAGAAGTTCTGGGGGGATCATAGAGACCCACAACAGAACCTGGTGGAGATGACAGAGTCCCACAGAGGGGTTATGGGACATGGAGTCTGTCACTCCCATCCCAGGGATACACAGACCGTAGGGAGCTATGGGACATAGAGCCTGTCCCTCCCAGCACAGGGTGACACAGACAGGAGGGAGCTATGGGACATGGAGTCTGTCCCTCCCAGCACAGGGTGACACAGACAGGAGGGAGCTATGGGACATGGAGTCTGTCCTTCCCAGCACAGGGTGGCACAGACAGGAGGGAGCTATGGGACATGGAGTATGTCCCTCCCAGCACAGGGTGACACAGACAGGAGGGAGCCATGTGACATGGAGTATGTCCCTCCCAGCACAGGGTGACATAGACAGGAGGGAGCTATGGGACGTGGAGTCTGTCCATCCCAGCACAGGGTGGCTGTTATCTTGTATGTTTTTCATGTTCCCAACCTAACACATGTCTTACGCCTTTTTATTTGTTTATTTTCTACTTTACTCTCAGGAGCTAAGTGATGTCCCATTATATTACACACTGGACAATTTGAGTAGTGTCGTTCGTTGTAGCACCCCTTCACTCCTGCAGTTCCGGTGAGTGCAAATCTCTGCCCACTACACCCTTTCTTTGTAGCCGAATAATTCAGTGTATGATACAAACCGGAAGCACAAATGTATGTAAAATACTGTGTGTGTGTGTGTGTGTGACAAAATAACTTTCATAATATGTCAATAACAGGCTCTTCTTTTATCAGTTCTGCGTTGCTTCACGCTGGATACAGAGTGTCCCTGTCACATGCTTGTAAGAGTGCTATAAAAACAGATGCCCCCCCTGCGCTGATCTGGGATATAATGAGATGCTGGGTGAGTTCTGGTAAATGGGAATTTTACAAGTTATGATGGGGAGGGGGTTATAAAGATCTGTTTAATATGGTGGAGTAACATTAATACAGCGGGGACAAGTTGATGTAGGGGAAGGAAACAATACGTAGCTAACTTCTCCTGCCTACTACTATGCTTGGTTAAATTCCATATTCCGCTCCCGGCTGAGGAAGCTGCCAGCACTTACATGGTTAACTGTTGCGTATGCATAAAAGCACAGAAAGGCTGTGGATTGAAGATCCTGTGAGATTGCAGCAACCTCCATGGATTGTGTGAGCATACACAAAGAGACGCTTGTTCCAAACAGCCTTCTAAAATGACAGCTGATAGGAAATGGCAAGATGTGGCTGTGGGAGATCTTTTAAGCTCGGTATTTTGCAGAAACAAGCAGCCTCTACATAAAAGACATTAAACGTTGCTTCATCTTAGATCTCTGGAGTGCATTGCGACTTCAATGAAATTCCAGCACAGTCTGTGAAGTTCCTATCTTTATGCCTATGGTTTTATCACTGTGAGCTGAGCAGAGAGGGTTTCATGTAATTATATTCTCCCCCCTCATTTCCCTTCTACCACCCCTCTGTTTTAACCATTTATGGCCTTGTCTCTTTATTGAAATGTATTTCTGGTTACATGTCATTTCAATAAACAATGTAATTTTAAATCCCAACAGGAAAAGCAGAATCCTGCAAAGAGGGAAAAATTGTCAGCGACCTGTCCAGCATTCCACATCCTAAGCAAAGAGCCCAGGTTAATATATACAGCGCAGTAATATCTGTATTTATATAGCTCCTTTCTATTACATTATACACAGCGCGGCCCCCTCTGGGGTGGGATACTAGTAATATCTGTATTTATATAGCTCCTTTCTATTACATTATACACAGCGCAGCCCCCTCTGGGGTGGAATCCTAGTAATATCTGTATTTATACAGCTCCTTTCTATTACATTATACACAGCGCAGCCCCCTCTGGGGTGGGATCCTAGTAATATCTGTATTTATACAGCTCCTTTCTATTACATTATACACAGCTCAGCCCCCTCTGGGGCGAGATCCTAGTAATATCTGTATTTATACAGCACCTTTCTATTACATTATACACAGCACAGTCCCCTCTGGGTTGGGATCCTAGTAATATCTGTATTTATACAGCTCCTTTCTATTCCATTATACACAGCACGGCCCCCTCTGGGGCGAGATCCTAGTAATATCTGTATTTATACAGCTCCTTTCTATTACATTATACACAGCGCAGCCCCCTCTGGGGTGGGATCCTAGTAATATCTGTATTCATACAGTTCCTTTCTATTACATTGTACACAGCGCAGCCCCCTCTGGGGTGGGATCCTAGTAATATCTGTATTTATACAGCTCCTTTCTATTACATTATACACAGCGCAGCCCCCTCTGGGGTGGGATCCTAGTAATATCTGTATTTATACAGCTCCTTTCTATTACATTATACACAATGCGGCCCCCTCTGGGGTGGGATCCTAGTAATATCTGTATTTATACAGCTCCTTTCTATTACATTATACACAGCGCAGCCCCCTCTGGGGTGGGATCCTAGTAATATCTGTATTTATACAGCTCCTTTCTATTACATTATACACAGCTCAGCCCCCTCTGGGGCGAGATCCTAGTAATATCTGTATTTATACAGCACCTTTCTATTACATTATACACAGCACAGCCCCCTCTGGGTTGGGATCCTAGTAATATCTGTATTTATACAGCTCCTTTCTATTCCATTATACACAGCACGGCCCCCTCTGGGGCGAGATCCTAGTAATATCTGTATTTATACAGCTCCTTTCTATTACATGATACACAGTGCAGCCCCCTCTGGGTTGGGATCCTAGTAATATCTGTATTTATACAGCTCCTTTCTATTACATTATACACAGCGCAGCCCCCACTGGGGTGGGATCCTAGTAATATCTGTATTTATACAGCTCCTTTCTATTACATTATACACAGCGCAGCCCCCTCTGGGGTGGGATCCTGGTAATATCTGTATTTATACAGCTCCTTTCTATTACATTATACACAGCGCAGCCCCCTCTGGGGTGGGATCCTGGTAATATCTGTATTTATACAGCTCCTTTCTATTACATTATACACAGCGTAGCCCCCTCTGGGGTGGGATCCTGGTAATATCTGTATTTATACAGCTCCTTTCTATTACATTATACACAGTGCGGCCCCTTCTGGGGTGGGATCCTGGTAATATCTGTATTTATACAGCTCCTTTCTATTACATTATACACAGCGCAGCCCCCTCTGGGATGGGATCGCAGTAATATCTGTATTTATACAGCTCCTTTCTATTACATTATACACAGCGCGGCCCCCTCTGGGGTGGGATCCTAGTAATATCTGTATTTATACAGCTCCTTTCTATTACATTATACACAGCGCAGCCCCCTCTGGGTTGGGATCCTAGTAATATCTGTATTCATACAGCTCCTTTCTATTACATTATACACAGCTCAGCCCCCTCTGGGGTGGGATCCTAGTAATATCTGTATTTATACAGCTCCTTTCTATTACATTATACACAGCGTAGCCCCCTCTGGGGTGGGATCCTAGTAATATCTGTATTTATACAGCTCCTTTCTATTACATTATACACAGCGCGGCCCCCTCTGGGGTGGGATCCTAGTAATATCTGTATTTATAAAGCTCCTTTCTATTACATTATACACAGTGCAGCCCCCTCTGGGGTGGGATCCTAGTAATATCTGTATTTATACAGCTCCTTCCTATTACATTATACACAGTGCGGCCCCTTATGGGACGGGATCCTAGTAATATCTGTATTTATACAGCTCCTTTCTATTACATTATACACAGCTCAGCCCCCTCTGGGGCGAGATCCTAGTAATATCTGTATTTATACAGCACCTTTCTATTACATTATACACAGCACAGCCCCCTCTGGGTTGGGATCCTAGTAATATCTGTATTTATACAGCTCCTTTCTATTCCATTATACACAGCGCGGCCCCCTCTGGGGCGAGATCCTAGTAATATCTGTATTTATACAGCTCCTTTCTATTACATTATACACAGCGCAGCCCCTTCTGGGGTGGGATCCTAGTAATATCTGTATCTATACAGCTCCTTTCTATTACATTATACACAGCGCAGCCCCTTCTGGGGTGGGATCCTAGTAATGTTTCACTCATTGGTTACAGCATCGAGGCCTGTTTTACTGTTCGAGAGGATGCAAATCCCAAATCACGGAAAATGGGTTTAAAACGGTTTCAGGAAAATCCAGAAGCCAACTGGGGTCCCAAAGCAAGAGCTAAAGCAGGGTAAAAGTTATTTTAATTATATGTATAATTATATGGAACAGGGTTTACATGTGTAACATTACAAATGGTCGTCTTATCTCAAACCAATTTATAACTAGTACATTTTTGGGTAACTGGTTCAATGATTAGATGAAGCACATTTCCATTTCTATTTGTAAATTATATGTGTATGAAACCCAGTCTAATTGCCAGCTTTTAAACAAACCTTTATTGATAAGTAGTGGCAACAATGATGGCGTGTATTACAGAAGGTACAACACCGTGAACGCTTTGCTTTGGTTTGGTTTTACGGTTACACACCAACGTTACCGCCTAGGGAACCCCAAACTGAAAGGATTGTCAGTAATTCCAAATGAGTTTTAAAGCTCAAATCACAGATTTATTCATGGCAGCTGTTTTTTTTAGTTTGACTTAACATTTGTTCACTTTCAATTCCCAACAATTACTTGCTTACCCACTATCCTAAATGGGCCTTAAAATATTGTCCAACCCCTCCCTTACAATAGCAGAATAACAAGGAAATGTATGGGTTATGAGAACAGTCCGTTGAATCGTTTAAAAAAAAAAATATATATATATATTTTATTCAATATAATCCCAAAGAAAACATGCATGTATTATTTATTATTGGAGCCGAGTGCTCGAGATTGAGGCTTTCCTGTGCTTCTCAATTATCTGTAATACAGCTCACTGAGAAGGGGGCACTTCGCACTCCTGTTAGCTTTGTATAGATAATGGAATAAAGCCTCTCCGGTTCTCTCTGTCATTGCCTGGAGGGTGTTTGACGATTTTTATTGAAACTGACACTTTTTATAGAGTGTCACAAGTATGACAGACCCGAGACACAAAACAATTTACAGCGGTAGTACAATATGTGTGTGAAGTGTTCCTTTAAAAAGTAATTTAATTTCTCGCTAGCCAGCTATTTTTGACACAAATGTGCACTAAACTATGTCTATTTTATAGCCAGATTACATTACCCAGTAATGAAGCAGATATTCACTGTAAACAGGCTTTATCTATTTAATTTATGGGAAGCCACTTGCTTTTTTAAAGGGACACTCCAGACTTCTAAAGTACTTTAGCTTGCTGAAATGCTTGTGTGAAGTATTTTTATTTTTTATAAAAAGTGCATATATCAGTAGAAAGACACTTTTATGAATTAACCTGGTTACACCCCCCCCCCCGGCTCTCAATTACATAACAGATCCTCTTACTTCCTGGTTTGGTTAGCTCAGAGGAGCTAAACTCAAGAGGCAGCAACTGCCCAGAGCACCTGCCTGCCAAAGACTTCACATTGAGCTGCATTGGGAAGTCTGTGATTGGACAGCAAGAGACAGTCTGGGTGGGGTTAGAAGAGGAGGGCTTGCAAAGGCTGCAGACACGAGAGCTGCAGCTCACTGCAAGCTCATTTTTAGATATAACCACAAAAAAAAAAAACCCCACAATTAAATGCATGTTTTCATTGGGGGTATATCTACTAAACTGTGATTCCCTTCCCCGTGTTAGTATTTGGACAGTGGTGTGTCCCTTTAGGTGATTAATTTTTTTTTTATTGCTGCTCACAGAGGCCAGATTTCCTCCTCTCTTGAGGAAAAGCGAAAACAGCATCAGAACAAGAGAAAGATCAGTCCCGGGACACCTGATGGCCATCTTAAAAACTTCCCCTGCAAGAGATTTAGACAGGTGAGTCTGACTGTAAAGCCAGTCTGATTGTAATGGGATACAAACCTCTGATTACATTGCTGTAAAGTCACCTAGCCCCAAGCTGGTTGTTCTTCCTTGGGTTCTGACTGTCTTCAATATTGGGAATCTGGTAGTTGTGTAACCACTGCATTCAGTTCACAAATGTTCTAGTTTATTAGAAATCTCCTTGTCTTTTGTAGGGTTGCTGTGATTTAGGAGAAAGCTGCCGATATTCTCACACTGAATCTGAAGAGACGCCAGAAGCCCAAGAAAATTCCCATTTGGTTCTGGACTCGGCCTCATCATAGACTCTTTCAAAGTGTCATCTGAACTAATGATGACAAACATGACCTTATAGGACTGTACAATACAAAGCACCAAGTGGCTGCAGATTTATTATTATTTTTTTTTTAAATCCTAGATCCACATTTGTAAAAAATACATTTTCCCCCTTTAATGTACAGACTGTGACAGGCAAGGCTTGCTTGTTATAGAACTGATTAAAGAGATTTATTTGCTCTTAAACACTCCAGTTGTAACAACGGGTGTTTATTTAAATGGAAAGTATCAGAACAGAAGCATTTGATGTAATTTTTATTTATATATAGATAAAAAAAAAGTGAATAAACATTTTGCATTGAAAAGGAATATAATACATATATATTATATTCCTTTTTAATGCAAAATGCTTATTCACTTTTCTGGTAAGGAGTTGTAAAAATGGTCCAGATCAGGTATTTTGAAATCCCCTTGTTAACTGAATCATATTCCTGGTTCAGGGAATAACTGGTAGATAATACTTCAATGTCACGGTAGCATGTTTAACTTTGTATTTTATGAACTGCTTATGGCAAGATGGCAGTTTAATTTCATATCAGAAAGGTTGAGTGGGGGTATGGGGTATTGTGGATGGCACACTGATTTAAGGCACAATTGAAAGAGTTGAGCTACACTACATGTGGAGGGTACAGGGGCTCCTCAGGACAATGGTTCCTATCTTTTAACTGTCCGTTACCGGCTTTCCCACTCTTGAGATGTGTAGTGGATAGTGGCCAGAAAAGTACGGATCTCCATAGGATTCAGAGTCACGTTAGAAGGATCCAGGGCAGAATGGGCAATATCTGCCAGCGATGGGGAGCCTAGAGGATGACAAAAATCACTTGTTATATGTACTAAACACAAACAGCCTGGCTATCGTCTTAAGTGATTTACAGGTTATAAAGCTTTATTTTTCATTAAGTGAAATGCATAGTGCTGCTTACGTTTCCCTGTCCTCCAGCTCATGCGTTTCACTTTGTTCTTCTCTTCATTAGCAGACAGCGTTGTCTCTATAAAGTCTGATAAAGACACGGTGGAGAACAAGGTCTGCAGGAAGAAAGGAGGCAGGATTAAACACGGTAAATGACATTGGGTTTTGAATGTAGGGGTTGGTGTTTGGGTGGTCTCACCTGCAAGTTGACAGTGATCGGTTGTGAATAATTGCGGCTTTCCTGTCCCTGAAATGGATGCTCTAGACGGATCAGCACTTTGTTTGGCTCCCGCAGAGCAAATGTAAGGAGGTGAGCATTCGGAGGGAGAGCTGCCTGCAGCCCTGAGAACTGGAAGGTGACAAAATACCATAAATCTATCAAACTAGTCTTCATGCAGCCAGGCTTAAAGGGACCGTCCCGGCACCAACAATATTTATGCATTTTATAGCCTTTGGCTTAACCAATAGGATTTGCAGCATTCTCCTTCTTAGCTCCAACTCCATCCGCAAGATGTTGATGAACTACACTTACCATGATTCTCCAGCCATCTATTGCATTTAAAGAATCCTGGGAGTTGCAGGCCATCAGCATCTGAGAGGACACTGACTGAGATCCCTGTTTTAAAATAATTCCTTCTTGTTGTTTATTAAACGTGCGTACAGCAAAGCCTTCTGGAAGTTGTAGTTCAGGAAAGGGCTTTCATAATTAGAAAACTGATAAGTCAACTACAAGCCCCAGAAATTGTTGCATTCAGCAGAATAGAGCATGTCCTCATTTCTGGGGCTTGTGTATATATATCCCCTCTTGCAACACTTTAGTCCTGACCAACTATTTAAACTCCACAAAAGAATGAAAGGCTCCTAGTTGGCTGAGCGATTTCATGCAGTAGGCAAACCCCAAGGTCAATTTATATAGTATGTGGGGATTTAGACAAAAGCAAGATTGTTGGAATTTTGATATAATTCTTGATTGATTTTATTAACTATAGTGTGTGTATATATATATCAATATTTTATTCCAACTGTAGTGTCCCTGAACTAAAACAAATGCTCTACTTGTATACAGGGGGAAGGAATTCCCTTCACATTACTATACAACAACGAACGCCAAAAGCCAGCCGTTCCAAATAAAATGCTGCCGTATCTTTCACAATCACGCTACACATCTAGCATACAGTATTCAGATGACCATTAGCAGCCTAACCTTTGTGAAACTAACAAACATATGGATAGCCATATTGAGACACAAGACATTATCGATACTAGGAAACGAGCTCTACTGCACATCTCACCTGTGTACGCGATGGGTTGCCTTTATAGTATGGGGCTCCATCAGTGGAGGAGAGTATGATCTGGGGTGACATGTACTCTTGCACAGCAAGAAGCCGGTGATGTTCAGCAGCATCTCTGGGAGAGTCTAGAAGCAGTAAATGTCTCCCCCTCACCACAAGGCCCTCTCCATACTGCCCTGGCTCAAAAAGGGGCTCCCCTACCCCACGTGAATCGTCCAGCAGGAGGCGCCTGTGAACCTATGAAAAAAAATATCCTGTGTATTGGACACTGTATAGTGAAAGGAAGACTCTAGTCAGAACCTCTGTGCTGTATAACATATGCTAAGATGATATCGCTCTGTTAAATGCTCAGAGTGCACGGTGTAAGCTTCTGGAACACTTGGATTACTTAAAAATAATACATCACAAAAGGTGTAATTGTTTGCTTCTTCCAAATGCCTGGTAAAATTAATATTTTGTGTTTAGTATCTATTCAGTTATTTTTACCTTTCATAAAGCAGTTTGCGTACATGGATTTGAAAAAGGAATTTTCAAATTATGCCAAAATAACAGGTAACCGCTATTTTGGCCTAAAAACTGAATTTCAAACAACAAAGCAAGTGCTCACCATCAGCTCCACTGATCCGTCTGTGATGCTGGATCCGCCCTGAGATCGATCGGTTAGAACCGTGAATTGAGTGTGTTTATCCTGGAGAGAGAGTGTGAGCAGATACTAAGACACCCGGCCCATTATGTCAGACTGATCTGGCTCATTGATTTATGAGCAATCTTTAATGTCATTACCGTCTAAGCATTACTAACTTCACTGTGCGGTTAATCCAAGTAAATACTACCCTTGGAAGCATATGCCCATCAGCCTTCTTACTTTAAATAATAGAGCAATAGGATATAACTTTAATTTAATTCATATCTATATTATACATTATGAAAGATACAGTCAACTAACTGGATGTGCCCATTTAAAGGGTCAGTCTAAGCACCATGGCACTGTTGCAAATAATGGAATATAGTAAAAACCACAGATAATATAAGACTGCCCACTAGGACTGTCAATCAGCCAGCCTGGAACATTTGGATCTGGATTGCTTATACCATTTTTCTCCCTGTTTGCACATGCTCACACTGCATGCACAACAAGCAAGGCTATCTTCTCCTCCAAAGAGAGAGAACTGGGCAGCATATTGTGCTTGAGTGTTCTGCGGCTCAGCATACACGATAACAAAGCCCAATTCTCTAAACTGTGACTAAGACTGTATGTAACCGTTTGCAGCCATGGTATGGCTCTTATCAGTTTAAAGAGCAGATCAAATCATTTCAGTTGGTTTTTGGGGATAAACTACATAACCTATAATCCACCTGATGGATAGAGAATTATGGGATAAGATCTGTCCCCACAGTCCAGAATAAGATGTTCTTTATTATAGTGTCCTATCCTGGGAGGAAGCAATCTGCTGCTATCTATGGCTGTAAGGCCCACTAAACAATGATTTCATTGGGAAGCTCTAAAGTAATTATTTTTTTTTACCCTTACTAACTTTTTGCCAATGTTTTTAAAGGGACACTACAGTCACCCAGACCACTTCAGCTCAATGAAGTGGTCTGGGTGCAATGTCCCTCAGGTTTTAACCCTTCAGATGCAAACATAGCAGTTTCAGAGAAACTGCTATGTTTACATTTGGGGTTAATCCAGCCTCTAGTGGCTGTCTTCCTGACAGCCGCTAGAGGCGCATCTGCTATGCTGGATGCGAATTTCGCATACATCGCACAGAGCGTCCACAGGAAAGCATTGAGAAATGCTTTCCTATGGACACTCTGAATGAGTGCAGGGAGCCCGGTGCTGGATTAAAGTAAGTAACTGAAGGGGGTTTAACCCCTTCAACGCCATGGGAGGGGGACCCTAAGGGCAGTATAGTGTCTGGAAAACTGCTTTGTTTGCCTGACACTATAGTGATCCTTTAATACATTATTCATACCTTGTTGCCCTCCTAACAAGTAAACCTAGAAGCAAGCTAAAATAAAATGGGGGGCCCAGGTATGCAGTATCGCTCCTGTAAATGGGGTACACTCATCACACTGCGCTTTAACACAGCATTCCAATTAAAATTAATTATTTTTTTCTGTAGAATAGGAGGTTTTGTCTTTTCCTGCAATGAAACCAAGGTTTCCTTTCCTATATTGCTTTAACTGGAAGGAGACCCATACGTATAGCCTATAAATTACTAATAGCCTTTGCCTTATTTATCAAAGATTAACAGTGATTAGAGCCCACCTTGATATAAATCCGACTATTTACAGGATAATAGTTTCCAGCTACAGGTTCAGTCTGTTCAAGTTCCCAAGTCTCACGATGGTTCCGCCTAAATACAAAATATTATTTAAAATAAATAAATAAATATAGGCATGTGTTTGATATAAAAATGTCTGTACCTCTCACTAGCGGGAGAAACAGATAGGAGGGAGCAGTGGCGTACATACCAGGGTCGCAGGGGTCACGGCTGCGACCGGGCCCGGCCGCCCCTGCGACCCGGTATGTAGCCACAGGGCCAACCTCTTCCCCTGGGGGGCCCAGGAGGCGGCCACCCCAGGGCCGGTCGGGCGCGCGAGGGAGCACTCAGTGCTTCCTCTTCAGCTTCCTCGCGCACCGCACTGATACCGGAGCCGGAAGATGATGTCATCTTCCGGCGCCGGCATCCCTACGCGGCGCGCGAGGGAGCTGAAGAGGAAGCACTGAGTGCTCCCTCGCGCGCCCGGGTGTCAGCAGCACCACTGGACCCCAGCACTCCAAAAGGTAAGGTAAGGTAAAAAAAAAAATATACATGTGTGTGTGTGAGTGTTAGAGTGTGTGTTAGAGTGAGTGTGTGTCTCTGCTAGTGAGTGTCAGTGAGTGTGTGTTAGTGAGTCTGTTTGATGTCTGTTAGTGAGTTTGTGTTTGTCAATGAGAGTGTATGTTTTGTGAATGTGTATGTATGTCTGTCGCTGAGTGTGTCTGTTAGCTAGTGTGTATGCGTCTGTAAGTGAGAGTGTGTGTGTCTTCAGCACTTACCTTTCTCCAGCGCTGGACTCCCTTGGTGCTGGGGATCCCTCAGCCTCTCAGCTCTGAATGCAACCGCGCACGCATTCAAACCGCCCATAGGAAAGCATTACTCAATGCTTTCCTATGGACGTTCAGTGTGCTCCTCTAGCGGCTGTCAGTGAGACAGCCACTAGAGGCTGGATTAACCCTCAGTGAAACATAGCAGTTTCCCTGAAACTGCTATGTTTTCAGCTGCAGGGTTAAAAATAGAGGGACCTGACACCCAGACAACTTCATTGAGCTGATATGATCTGGGTGTCTGTAGTGGTCCTTTAAGTGTGTGTGCATCTGCATGCACTGGCGTACATACCGTGGTCGCAAGGGTCGCAGCCCTGTAACCCCTGCGACCAGGTTCCCACCGCCATGTGTTGCGGTCCAGGGGGGCCGACGGATCAATTTTCGCACCAGGGGTCATGTGTACGCCACTGGGAGGGAGCTATGGGACATGGAGTCTGTCCCTCCCAGCACAGGGTGACACGGACAGGAGGGAGCTATGGGACATGGAGTAAGTCCCTCCCAGCACAGGGTGACATGGACAGGTGGGAGCTATGGGACATGGAGTAAGTCCCTCCCAGC